TCTGCCTTCAGCTCAGGTCATGATCCCAGGGTCCTGGGATGGAGCCCCGCATCATCGGGCTCTCTGCTCAGCAGGGAGCCTGCTTCCGCCTCTCTCTCTCTGCTGCCTCTCCGCCTATTTGTGATCTCTCTCTGTCAAATAAATAAATAAAATCTTAAAAAAAAAATACAATGTTAGGGGCTCTTGGGTAGCTCAGCTGGTTAAGTGGCTGCGTTCGGCTCAGGTCATGATCCCAGGGTCCTAGGATTGAGCCCCGCATCGGGATCCCTGCTCAGTAGAGAGCCTGCTTCTCCCTCCCCTCTGCCTGCCGCTCTACCTACTTGTGCTATAAATAAATAAATAAAATCTTAAAAAAAAAAAAACAAAAACACAATGTTAGGCAAAGGACTCCAGCCCCCCCGCCCAAAAAAGGAATGTATATTATATGCTTCTATATGCAAGAACCTCAAAAACAGGCAAAATATTCTGTGGCATTAATAATCAGAATATTGATTACCTTTGGGAAGAACAGTTAATTTTCATTGCTGTGTGTATCTCTATAGGTAGGTTCTTGAAATGCCGGTAGTATTCTATGTCTTGGCCTAGGTGGTTACATGGGTTTGTTCAGTTTGCTTTAATTCATCAAGTGATATGCTTTGATCTATGTACTTCTCAATATATGTTATATTTCCATTAAAACCTGTTTTAAGGTAATCAAAAACAGAAACGCTTTTAAGGACAAAATATATTTAATGAAGAGAAAAATGTCAAAATATTAGTAATGTAAATAGCTAATATCCTTACTATATGCGTAACATTATGCTAAGTACTTTGTAACATATTTACCACACAGCAGACCAATGAGATACCCCCTTCTTAGCCATATTCTACAACTGAGGCAAATTATTCTTGGGATAGATGAGTAACTGCTGGAAGTCACATGGCTCAAAGCCCATGTCCTCAAACACTGTTAAACATTGCTTCAGAATAATCCAATTCCCAAGACACAAACAAGTTCATAGTTAACCACACGCTGTGCAAATTGTTCTAGAGATGGTTTTCAAACTTTTGGATTTCACAAACCATGAAAGCTAAAGGAAAATTTGGAAAGACCAACATGGAATTACCAGCTTTCTATTTTTCGTAACAAAAACATTCTTTTCTATTAGCACTTGTCATCACAGTCATTTTGCAAGAAAATAAATTCTATCATTGATAATATAACATTCTATGTCAACTACAATTAAAAAAAAATTCTAACACCGAGAACATAAAAAATACATAATCTCAGGATTAAGGACTATCCTTTAAATTAAATCAAATTGGGTTTTTAAACCCATTATATTTTCCTTATTTATCTCATACCAGGGATTTCTGAGAACTTTTCCATGGATCAGCATTTGGAATACACTGTTGTTTACTGGGGGTTGAGGAAGGAGGGATATCCCAACACATTTTATGATAACTTCAAGGAAGAAAAAATGACCAATATAACAAATAAAAGCAGACACAGGTTCTAAATGAACAATTAAAAAGACAGAATTCAGACATAGTTAAAATAATAATAAACATTTGTTATTTCAGGAATTTCAGGTTTATTTCAAGAATGTAAAATAGTTTCATCCCAGAAATTCAATCAATATAATTAGTCAATAATATGTTTGCATCAGCCAACCATTGCTACAATAATGCTGAATAATAGACCATTATAAAATTTCAGCAGCGTGCAGTAATAAGCTTGTTTGTGTGTCAGTGGGATGGCTGAGAGTTGGCTGACCCAGGCTAGCCTCAGCTAGAGCTCCTCTGGTCATGTCCCTTATCTTCTTTGGACCAGTGGACTAGCAAAAGCTTATGCTAGTCTTAATATAATCATCTCAGTAAATACAAAATATACATTTGAAGGAAAAAGTCCACCTCTTTTAGCAAACTAACTTAAGAAAGGTATTTTTCCTGTTACGATAAAGAAAACCTATCTTGATTTTAGCCATTATCACACTCAGTTCTAAGAAAGTAGATCATTACATTTTCATTAAGATCAAAAACAATAAAAAAAATACAAGTTATCCCTTATTCAACACTGAAAATGCCAGCCAACTCAATAAGAAAAGTAAAGGAAAAAGAGATATAGTCCACATTCCTTTTTGACTCTGGGGTTGGATTGTTCCAGAATTTAGAAGTTTTCATATTTTACAAAAGTTAATTTACTATGTACCATGTAATAACAGAAGCAGATGCAGATTTCTATAATCAAAATATTTTTATATTAAAATGTATGAATATTAACACAAAATAGAGACTACAAGCTGCCTTACATCCCTGCCAGTCAGGCTTTAGTTTCAAACTTACAAACTTGCCATTTTCAAAGTGAATTGTGGATAAGAGATTACAAACTATAATTAAAGAAGAAATCCAATTTTGATTACCAGTAGATTGCCTGCCTACAAAACTCCAGAGAATTAACTGGAAAATTGTAATAGGAACTTATAAAAGTTATCAGTTATTAAAGACATAAAGTGCTTTTCTGTATCCCAAAAAAACTCAAAAAACATAGTTTTTGTGATAGAAACAAGACCTTACAAAGCAATGAGCTCAAAAGAAGAGTATAGTTATTTTTTGAAGCAAACTTCATGACTTTACCAAAGAACATTAAATAAACAAAAAATAATTGTAAACAAATCCAATTTAATTTGATGGGAAGATATTATATGCTGGAGTTGTCAATTTTTTCAGATTAAAATTATTAAAATGTATATGTTTAATGATATTCTCCATTGCCTACTAGGGAATTTTTTTGGAATTTCATAAAAATAATTACGAATCTCATCTGGAAAATAAATGAATAAATAACTAGATTTCAAAAAGAAAGGAATAGTGGAGGGACTTCCATCAACGTATAATATTAGTTCACTAGAATCTTTACTACAAAGCTATAATAATAAAAACGATAGCAATAATGCAGAAATAAAATGATAGAAATACAAATTTCTTTGCAGTTCACAATAGAGTCACTTTTGAAATGCTCAAAAATCCACCACAAATGTAATGGATAAGCTTGAGGATAGTTTTAATTTTGTGACTTTTACCAAGAATATTTCACTTTGTAGATCTAAGTTACTATAGGTTATTAGTCCTTTCAACCTGTAATTTTTATCTTTATCTTAACTCAAATTACAGTCACCACCAAATTTCCTTTTAATTTTTTCTCCTGAGAAATTTTCCAATTTTTTTTTTTTTAAAGATTTTATTTATTTATTTGACAGAGATCACAAGTAGGCAGAGAAGCAGGCAGAGAGAGAAGAGGAAGCAGGCTCACGGCTGAGCAGAGAGCCCGATGCAGGGCTTGATCCCAGGACCCCGGGGTCATGACCCGAGCCAAAGGCAGAGGTTTTAACCCACTGAGCCACCCAGGCGCCCGAAATTTTTTATGATATTTTCAAAAAGTATTGGAACAAATGTCTACATAACAAAATGGAAACCTCGTGCCATTTTTTGCACTTTTATTCCAGATTTGTCTATCTAAAATGTTGCTGACAATAATAAAGCAAGAAGAAAAGAAAAATATCTCCTTATATGAGTTTTATTTCTGTGATACAGTCCCTTCAAGAGTAAAAATAAAGTTACTACGAATTTCTATTACAGATTTTGGAAAAATCAATTGGACTTACGTTCATGACCACTTGCCTGCCCTGTGGCCTTCATAACGGCTTCATTTGTCAGTGGTTAAACCTCTGTTATAAGTAAGGTTTGTTATCTACTCTTGGTTTACCTTTTAAGGATTTCGCTCTTGATATAAAGTCACAATTCAGCTACTAGAAGAACTTTACCATTTTGTGTCACCGATTGACAAAACTCCATTTCCATCTTTGTTCCAAATAGTCGAAAAGTTAGAGAAGCCACATAACAGAGTGGGACATTGGCAATGCTTGTAAGAAATTCACATGTCTTTTGAGATCACAAGTTTTTCTCCACTCAACATTTTGCTGCAGGCAAGGTACCAAAGTCCTGCAGGTGGAACTGCCAGAAAATAGCGTCTCCTAGATCCCTACATGCAGTCCACTCACTGAAGTTAAGTGGAAATTGTCCAACATTTCACACAACTTTAAAAACAACACATACTCAATTTTCCATCTGTGCTACAAAACATTATTTGTATGATGAAAATAAGTGACATCATGCAAAAGGAATAAAATTTGTGAAACAAGATGGTTTTCTTTCGAGTAGGGCTTGTTTGTGTTGGAACTAGAATTCAAAAAACCCTGATAATGTTGGACCATGGACCAAGTAATGAAAGAAACTGAATCCAGATAAATTCTGGCAAGTCAGTTAAAAACTGAACTAGTGTAGGATGAAGAGGATATGTTTTATGGCGGGAATGTGGGGAAAGGGGCGGCTGTATATGAATCAGGGGTAATCTCAGCATGAGTCAGCAGCAACATGACAGACATAAGGTGGCAGACACATGGTCTGATCCCAGCAAGGACACGGTCTCAGGCCCTACATCTCCCTCATTATAAGGGATGGAGGTCAACCCAAATGTGTGCAGAAGAAATGAAACAGGATGGAAAGCTGACCTCAAACTATATCATCTGAGAAAAATCCAGTAAACAAGTGATCGCGTAGACAAGTCCAAATGGGAATATAAGCACCGCCCTCCCACGTACGGCGGCTCTGTTCTGCGTGCTACAGAGGCTGACAGGGAGACTGATGGCGACTCAGTGTAAGGAAATACTTTATCATTTTCAAAAGTAGCCCAATGATGGAAACATTGCCTTAGGAGTTTCATACCACTAGAGAAGCACAAACAGCTGGGGAAAAATATCCCATGACAGGACTTTTGCAGGCATCAATGGGGAGTTTGGACTAAATGACATGTAACATCTCTCCCAAGCCAGATTCTAAGATTCCTTTACTCTAAAACAAGTATTTAAAAGCAGCAGAGGGGCGCCTGGGTGGCTCAATCGGTTAAGCATCTGACTCTTGATCTCAGCTCAGGTCTGGATCTCAGGGTCTTGAGCCCCACATTGGGCTCCACGCTGGGCCTGGAGCCTACTAAAAAAAAAAAAGGCAGCAGAACATGAAGGCACATCTGATATCCTAACTCCATTCAATCACCCTGATTAATGGAAATCCTTTATTAATCATAGCATAGCATAGACAGAAAGCTAGCCAGCAATGAAACCAGACAGGGTTCGAATATTGGCTTTACTACTTGCTGACTGAGTAGATGTGGATTAATTCTCTAGGAGCCTCAGTTTCCTATAAAATGGGGATAAAACATGAACCTTGCAGGTAGTGTACACAAGGCATTTAGTTCCAAAGAGATTCTCAATCCACAGGTGATGTTGTCAGTGTTACCATAGAGAAAGTCTGAAAACGACACTCCAGTTCCAATAATGCAATACTGATTTAGCACAACTGGATAAACTTTACTGCCTTAAATTAAAAAAAAAAAAAAACAAGGACAACAACAAAAAACACTGACCAAATCAAGTAAAGGTACAAAAGAATTAAAATAATAAGCTCATCTTTAAGGAACTGTACCAAACTTCTTTCTTCACAAGTGTAGAATCCTTCTAACATTTGCATCTTTCAAAATTGCTTAAACACCTGTTTGTTTAAATCCTACAGAGCAGAGTGTAAAATGATATCCTTCAGCTAGAAATAAATACAGCTCAACCAGTGGTGTTCAGAACCATGAGGGGTGGGTGGGCTGAGAAACAACAAAATGGTCTGAGGGCAGCTTTTTTTCCCCACTCATTTCAGTCTCAACTGAGGGGAAGCCTGATTTCTCAGCAGGAGATACACTGTTTTACTTTCTGTAAATATTCTTTTTTTTTTTTTTAAATGAAGTTCCTGGTGAAGAAATGTTTAAGAAAATCAAAATGTTGGTTTTTTTTTTTAAAGTTTAATTTTGCTTTTGTTTCCCTTGCCAAAGGAGACATATCTAGAATAATAATATGATCCACTAATTCCACTACTGGGTATTTATCCAAAGAAAATGAAAACACTAATTTTAAAACATGTATGTACCCCTATTTTTATTACAGCTTTATCTACAATAGCCAAGGTATGGAAGCAACCCACGTGTCCATCAATAGATAATGGATAAAGAAGATGTGATCTATATATACAATGTGGTCTATATATATATAATGGAATATTACTCAGCCATAAAAAAGAATGAAATCTTGCCGTTTGCAACAACACAGATGGATCTAGAGAGTATAATATTAAGTGAAATCAGTCAGAGACAGATAAATGTCCTATGATTTCACCAATATGTGGAATTTAAGAAACAAAACAAGCAAAGAAAAAAAGAGACAGGGGCACCTGGGTGGCTCAGTGGGTTAAAGCCTCTGCCTTCAGCTCAGGTCATAATCTCAGGATCTTGGGATCAAGCCCTGCACATCGGGCTCCCTGCTTAGCAGGGAGCCAGCCTGCTTTCCCCTCTTTCTCTGCCTGCCTCTCTGCCTACTTGTGATCTCTGTCTGTCAAATAAATAAATAAAATCTTAAAAAAAAAAAGAGAGACTAACAAAAAGACCCATTAATACAGAGAACAAACTGATGGCTACCAGAGGGGAGGGGGGGGATCAAGGAAATAGTGAAGGGGATTAAGAGTACACTTATCGTGATGAGCACTAATGTATAGAATTAAATATTTATGTTGTATATCTAAACTAATATAATATAAAACTCTGTTGATTATGCTTGAATAAAAAATTTTAATAATTTTTTTCAATTAAAAATTTGAAATGTTGCTGCTTTTCTTTCAGTGAGATAAGAAAAAGAGAAGGTGTGAGCATAATTTTTATTATTTGTGTTTACAGAACTCTGGTTTAAAGTATCCATCTTGGTAATGCAATGTGTAAATACAGAGCTTTCCTAAGATTTCTAGGTTAACTGCAAGTATACAGAGCTGCATGGTATAATGGGAGGGCCTGTGGCATCTACCTTAAAGAGACCTGGGTTCTGGCTGATCTTGATTTGAGAGTCATCTCCTTTTGAAACATAAATAAATCACATCACTCTTCTACTTGAAACCCTAAGCGTCCAGACTGTTACCATGCCCACCAGACCCTGTGTGATGTGAATCTTCCCTTGCTACTGTCAGGTCACATTCCCTGTCACTCTTCCTTCCCTCTATCAATTTCAGCTACATTGACCTTTGAGTGCGAATTCACTTCAGGGCCTTTGCACTTGCTTCCCTCTGCCTGCAATTCTCCTTCCATATGGAAGGTATCCATATGGTATCCACACGGTTCATTCCCTCACCTCATTCAGGACTCTGCTTGAATGTCATCTCCATTGAACATTCTATCTAAAAGAGCACTTTCCTTCATTATTCTTTATCCCTTACCTTGCTTAATTATGTTTTCTGAATACTTACCATTATCTGACCTACTATATATTTATTTGTGTAATTTTTACCAAATGTTCCCTTCCCATTAGAATAAACATCCACGAAAGCAATGACCACATCTGTTTTGCTCACTGCTGTAACTCAACAAGTAGAACAGTACCTAGCACATGATGGACACACAATAAATATTCCCTGAATGAATGAACTAAAGAATGACCTTGGAAAAGACACATAATCCCACTTGTGTTCTAATCTGTATATTTTTTAAGAAAATCTTTTACTTCTTCTCCCGCTATAACATTCTATGATTCTCAGTTTCCTAAGCCAATGTTCTCAATCATTATATTAGGAAAAGGAAAGAGAAAGTTCCTAGCATAGACTGGGTGGTTTCTAAACAACAGAAATTACTTCTCAGAGTTCTGGAAGCTGGGAAGTCTGAGATCAACGCACCAGCAGATGCTGTGTCCAGTGACGTCCCCCTCCCAGTTCAGAGATGACATATTTCTGCTGTAACTCACATGACAGAGAGGGTGAGGAAGCTCTCCAGGGCCTCTCTTATAAGGGCTTTAACCCCATTCATGAGGGCTCTGTTTTCATGACCTATTCACCTCCCGAGACCCCGCCTCCTAATGCCACAACACGGGGGAAGGGGAAGGGATTTTAACATACCAATTTTGAGGGGACACAGCATTCAGTCTCGACAAAATAGGGCAAGAGGCAGCTCATTCCTTTAATGTCACAGAAAGAATTCAGGACTTGTTTACTTGAAATACGGGATAATGCAAAACCTCCTATCTGCAGCCAGCCAGCCCAAAAGAGGGTTCTCAAAACATTAGACCAGTCAGATTATCCTCACTTGCAAAACGTGCTTTACACTGGGTCACCGTTGTCATCATGTGCCCTCAATTACAACACACCCTTATTTCCCTGATATGTTGAAGAACTTTAAACACTGGCCTCCCACAAATGGTTAGGGGTACATCCACCCCTATTTCAGAGATGACAAACCAAGGAGCAGCTAGAATAAAAAAATCTGACCACAAATATTTTCTCTCTCGTGTACAAAACTGTAATTCTAGGGCCTGGAGCATAGCAGAACATAAAGTATTTATTGTGCAGTGGTGGAGTGAGGGTTGAAAGCATGTGATTCTGGGTTAAAAGCTGGTTCTTTCTTTTTTCACTCTGCCCTATGGCCTCTCAGGAGGCATTTGGTCAGGAAGGTCAGAGGCAATTTGCGTGAAGCAGGACGGACCCAGGCTTCTGAAGTCTCCTTCATCGATCGCCTCTAGGACTCATTCGGAGCCAGAAAATGTTTATCTGCTTGGAATTGTGAAATGGTAGAGCACTGTTTAAAAAAACAACAACAACAAACAAGACAAAACACATCAGGTTGAGTGCTCAGGAATTCGAGTTTCAAATCCTGCCTCTGACTCTTACCACACAGCACTTAGGCTCCTGAAAGGTCAGTTTGCTTATCTACGCAGGGTGTGATGGGCCTCTTTCTCAGAGGCTTCCTGAGAGCCCGGGGCGGGGTGGGGCCGGGGACGACATACTACCTGGCACTTAGTAGGCCTGCAACTATCGCGTTCATTAGAAAATGCCAACAAAGAGGCCTGATCTCTGTGGATCTCACGGTGCATCTGCGGGGCCGGCGGTGCTCACTCAGGAGGCGAGTTACCGCTAGAGGACACTGAGCTAGCAGGAAAACTGGAGAAAGAACTGGAGGATGCCTGCCTGAGCCCGTGGCCTCTCCCTGCTGGCTGAGTCATTGAACTGCATGTGTGATCATGACACGGGCCTGTGAGAGGCTTCCAGGGAACAGCTGTCCTCTGAAGATCTTGAGGCAGACTGAGGCTGCAAGGAAAGAATTTTATTTCAATGCTGTGATTAGCGTATCCTGTCATCCTTGCACCAGGCACAGACAGACAACAATCTCCCCCTGGAGTTCCTAACAACGCTGGGTTCTAGGCTTGAATCACAATGATCCGAGATCTCAGTGTTTTTACTAATCCACTGAGATGGAAACTGCCAGCAGCCTCACTGTGTACGTTTAGCAGGAAAGCAAGTTTTATTTGCCTTGCTTATATAAAGGATATTTACTTTTATTATTTTTTGTGAGATTTATTTATTTGAGAGAGAGAAAGAGAGAGATAGAGCGTGGGGGGAGGGAAGGGGCAGAGAGAATCCCAGTCAGACTCTGAGAGCCTGAAAGGACATAAACTGAGCTGAAACCAACAGTCAGCCATTCAACTGACTGTGCCACCCAGGCACCCCAAAGATATTGGTATATGCCTGTGTCATATACAGCCTTGCCCCTTGTTCCTTTCCTGACCCTTGTCTAAAGGAATGTGAAATCTCTTAGAGATATCCGGGCAGACATTACCAGGAAAGGAAGTCAGAAATGAGAACCTGAGGTCATCCCCTGTGTATATCCTTAATACAAGACACAAGTATTTACTCTCCATACTGAATACTATTTCTAGAATTAATTCTAATTTTAGAATTCTAAATTCTAAATTCTAATTCTAATTCTAGAATTTTCTGTTTTAGATTGCAAAATCCTTAACAGCAAAGATAGAATTCCATAATCTAACACTTAATTCAATAAGGCCCCATTTCTAAAGGCTGGTCTCAATGGACATCAGCATGACCATATAATGTATGACACAAACGGGCATTTTTGAGAGTGAGAAGAGGTATTAATATGACAGACAACAGATGTAAACTGATGAGTCTGTGATCACTCTGCTTAATTGTGCTTAGAAACCACCCCACTAAAATATTTACTCTCATAACATTTTACCTATAAAAAAATCTCTCCTTAGAAACTGACTTTAGTTAAAAAAATTATTTGTGCTTTTTCTATACAAACAGGACTGGCTTGGTTTCCAGGACAAGTTGGTATCTGCCTCCTTAGAGATGGGTGGAGTGTGTGTCTCTCTCTCCCTCACTGCCTCCCTTGTCTGGGAACCCCGTGAGCCATTTATTCAAGCAGAGCCTCTCTGGTGACTACATTCTTCTAGACTTCCTCCTCTGAGCTCCCAGGCAGGCTCTACACCACTACCCTTCTCTCTGTAATTGCTTTAAAATCGTTCTACGCAACACCTGCAATCCATTTTCGCAAGAATGAAAAAGACCTATCAATTATTCAATTAATGGCCCCTAAAAAGTAAAATTTGGCTTCTTTAATAGGAATGCAGAAGTAGAGACAGAGATAGCATGTTGACTTGGTAGATCTGGCAGCTGGAGACAAGAAGCAGATGCCCTGGGTTGTGAATGTATGTCAAGTTACCAAGTGCACACCTCCACTCGGCTAATTTCCTATGAACAATAGAGTGGGTAGGTTTGCTGGAAAGTCCTACTGAGAGGAAGTGAGCATTATGAGCGCGCTTGAATGTTACACATTAACGGTCACGCTAAATGAGGAAGTAGAAAGGAAGTAATGGAGAAAGAGAAGACCAACGGCAAGGGCCACACTTCATTGTTCTCTTTACCTCGCCTGGACATGACTCCAAAAAATCAGAATGTTTTTATCAAAAAAAAAAATCTTATTCTTCAAACTCCTCCCTGATTACTTCAAGTGGGAGGTGATCTAGACATGTAGCAGAAAAGTGAGAAATAAAAAATAAAACCTTTCTGGATTGAAAAAATAAAGCATTTTAAAGTTTTCTTGGCAGTAGAGTAGTGCAGCAGAAGCATGCTAGGCCCATAAAGTTTTCTTGGCTATGTCTTTTCTTTTTCGAACAAGGGGCATTTCTACTTTTGTTCTCACTCTCCCATTTGTCCAAAATAGAAGGTTCTAACAAGACAACAACTTAAAAAAAAAAAAAAAATTCTTCCAGGGTCAGGAGCTTGGAGACAAAAAGAGCTTCAATGAAGTGGTAGCTGGGTTGTGAGCAGCTCACAACCAGCATTCCAAAAGGAGTCCGACAGTCTGCAAGGCCTTTTTAAAAACAGCTCCAGATTTCCCTTAACAGCCAACCCCAATCACCCATGAACATATTCATTACATGATTTCATCAGTTATTCCAATAACAGGTTCTGCATATCATTGCTTTAAAAAAAAAAATACCTAACAATCAGGTTGGTGGGAACATCACTGTGACTTCTACACACACTTGGTCTCTCTTTCCCTCCCCTACCCTTCACTGCCTGCCCTGAAGCACAAAATGTTCAGTGAGCAGGACCTGTCATTATTTCTCTAGGGACCCTGAACACTGGACTTCTGTTTATAAGTTCAGTACCCAAACACTTCCCCAGAACACTCAACCCACAGTTAAACCCTATTAGTTAATTTGGTCTCCATGAATACACCATACACGGGTTCTGGTAAAAACAAAGTTAAAGAAAAAATAAAAGATTTGCAAATGTTTTCTCTCATAAATAAAAAGGTGTCACCCAAAAGAACCTCTTGTTGAGAGGCAGAGAGGTGGTTAAGAAAAAAATAAAATAAAACCTTCTGAAGACTAAAATACAATTTTGCATCCAAGCAGGGTGGAAGGTTTGATGCCAGTGCACAGAGGCATTATAATTATAAATTAGCTGATTTCTCCTGGGTCCTGCGGGGCACGAAGAACATTCGGCCATTTTGTGTCAATTTACCTGGAGTCATTACTCAGGAAACAGGCTTATGTTCCTCACTTAACACGTTCTTTTTGGAGCACTGGGAGTGGTTCACTAAAAGAGCCTTTTGTGAAGCATGAAACTTTTGCTAGTCGTGTGAATTTCACCCCACTAATTGCGAAATTCCTTTCGGAGTGTATAGGATTTCCTCAAAGTGAAATACCCTCATTCAGTGGTTTGATACAAAGGACATACCACGTTAAATTTCCCGTAAAATCTAATAAATCAAGGAGGGAAGTAATATCCAGGACTGAGTCTTTGCCTCCTTATGAGGTGAGAGGAAAATTGCTCGGGGGCTTTTATAGTGTGGTTAACCTTGACTCACCAATGTCATTTTACCTTGCAGTACTCATGTCCAAAAGAATGGCTGGCATCAGAAAGGATGAACACCCACCATTTGCATCAACATGGATGGAACTGGAGGGGATGATGCTGAGTGAAATAAGTCAAGTTTCACTCACACGTAAAACATAAGGAATAGCGCAGAGGACCACAGGGAAGGGAAGGAAAACAGGAAGAAACAGAGAGGGAGACAAACCATAAGAGACTCTGGACTCCAGGAAATAAACTGAGGGTTACAAAAGGTTGGGAGGTGGGGGATGGGGTAACCAGGTGATGGGTATTAAGCAGGACCCGTGTGATGATAAGCACTGGGTATTATGCACAACTAATGAATAGTTGAACACTACCACAAAAACTAATGATGTACTATATAGTGGCTAACTGAACACAAAAAAAAAGAGAGAGAGAGAGAAAGAGAATGTTGAAAGTATAGCTAGGTTCACTTTATGCTATTAAATAAGCTGTGATATTTAAAATTAATTCTTTTTAATTTTAAAATCATACTTACCATGTTGATAAAACAAACCTGAAATTTTACAAAAGGTCTTTATGTCAAGCCCTCCTCAAAGCATGAGAGACTATGGACTCTGAGAAACAAACTGAGGGTTTGGGAGGGTAGGGGGTGAGGGGTTAGGTGAGGCTGGTGGTGGGTATTATGGAGGGCACGTATTATATGGAGCACTGGGTGTGGTGCATAAACAATGAATCCTGGAACACTGAAAAAATAAAATTAAATTTAAAAAAATTTAAACCCTTCTATGGAAATGTCTGTATGATTGGGTTGTTTCCTTACTGGTAGGTCAGCTGAGGGCTGCGTATTCTGACTGGAGCATCTGAGCATGTTGGAAGGACAAAGAGGGTATGGAGGTAATTCTGATCTAGGACTGATGGAAGAACCCCAACCATTCAGCCCCTATAGAATTTCCCTTTAATGACAATCCCACTTGATCGCATTTTTCTGTCTATAGCCAGTTTTCTGTTTATTCCATTCTGCTTAGTGTAAGTAACTGTTAATGGCCCTAATGGTGTCTCTGGCTATAAAGAGATAGTAAGTATAACTGGCCGGCACTTAACAGCCATGCTTATCTGCTAAAGGATAGTGTTTGTAAATATGGGTCAATATATAAATGACATTTTATGACTGTTTTGCCTCAAAAGCGGGTTCTTCCTCCCCATCTTCAAAAAAAATTAAAACTTTCTAGAAAAACCTTTCCCCTGTATCCAATACTGCACACCCTTCCTCTGAAAAGGAAAACAATTCAAATATGACAACTTCCCAAATTTGTTGGTGAAGCTCTGTTTTTGCTTAAAGAGAAAAGAAATATGTGAACGTTTCTGATTGTCTCCAGTATAGAATTTCCCTTTAAGCCCCAAGACAATATATGTGTTGGCTTACATGGCATCGGCTTTCCCGAGGGAGAACATATTCCAGTTCTGATGAAAATATTAGCTTTCCCTGATAAGAACTGGGAGAGCCATAAAACAATCTCTTTGTCTGGAGCCAGTGCCCTTCACCCAAGCATATTATTATTGTAGTAATCCATTTCATTAAAAAAAAAAAAAAACCTTTGATCAAAATTAATTTAGGGTATCTCATATTTTGGAGCCTCTACTGCTTGGTTTCATTCTTTTCAAGTCCATATTTGACCCAGAGTTCTAGGAGATTAAGATACCTGAATGAAAACACATCCTTGCTGATTTTGCAAGTTTTCCAGCTATGTAGACCTAGAAACTAGTCTCATAGAATTAAAAGGATTCTTAAAGTTTATCTAGTCTCATGGAGAAACTGAGGCCAAGAAAGGTCAAACATCTCTCCAAAGGGCATGACTAAGTGATGCCAAGAACCAATCTCTCCTGCCTGCTTGTCCAGGATTCTTCCTATTTACTCCATATCACTATTATTTAGGTCAGCCTTCAATTTATGAAGCATGGTAATATGCACCCACTCTTTATTTTCACAAGTATCCTAACATTCAACAAACTTACATAAAATGTATTTAATAACTAACTAGCATTTAGGGAACTATCATCTTACAAAAAATTACTATTTGGTAAATCAAACCATCTAGTTTTCTGATATATTATATCCCTTCCATCAAAGCTCTAAATCTAGAAGAAATTCAAGCACGAAGCCGGAAAAATAAATTAGCAGGGTGGGCCCCCACTAAATATGGCAGGCCTCAAGGCAACCGTTCCAAGGGGTGGTTAAGAGAACAGCCAATCAGGAGTGTCCACTGAGAGGTGAAGAAGAGAGGCATGAATGGGGCAGAGGTGGATACTCAGAGCCAGAGACCCAGCCCTGTGCTCAGGTTAACTGCCCAGCCTGCACACAGCTAACAACCTTCAAAACAGCTCTGCCAAAAGCTAGCAACAAACAAAATAATGCCCAAGAACATTTTTGTTTTGACTGTATTCAAATTACCAGAAATTTTCTGAACAACGTCCCCCCTCTAGCCCCTACCTTCAGACATTATATAATTCACACTTACATAACCACCCCGTGACATTTCAATAGCCCTTTCATATTTCACCAAAACCTATTTTTCCCATTTTTTAACGTGAATTATGAAAGCATCTTAAGGCACATGACTCAAATGTTGAAAGTCATATCATAAACCAAGCCAACTCCCACTACCCTTTGCACCCATGGACACACGCACACGCACGAGCGCACACACACACACACACACACACATCATTCCGTAAAATATGTGGAATTTTACACACAACTGCAAAACAAAAAACAATGAGGAAAAAAACCAGGGAGGGCAGTTTGTGTCCACCGAATGTAGACTCACTCACGTAGATCAGAGGGTGAATTGATCACCAGGGTTTACAGAGCGTCAACCGGGGCCAAGGTATCGCTGTTATAGCGGTATTCCTCAGGGCACTTGAGTTCTCTTTCTTAAAACAGACTTACCCACTGACCATTAAACCTAAATACCATACCGGGGGTTCCTTTAGAGGAGAAAAAAAAAAAAAAAGCCAATTACCAGATGTTCAAGGGAATCCCTCAGTTACCCTGGAAAACACAGTCCTGAACCATACCACAAGGTTTCTAATACCTGTTCATCTCAAATTCTGGATTTTAAGTGCCCCTACTGTGTGTCCTTAATACTCCCTGCTTTTCCTGTGACAGAACTTGTCCCACTGTGTTTTAATTGCCTATGTCTGAAATGCCCATTAGACCATAAGCTCCATGAGGGCAGGAAACATGTTGTCTCATTCACCATTGTATCTCTAGAACTATCATTGACATTTCAACAAGTACATGAAATCATCCAACAAATATTTGCTGAAAACCAACTATGTACCAAGCTCTCTCTGTTCTGTGTTATTAGAGATACAGTCTAAAAACAAACAAACAAACAAACAAAAAAATCAAGTTCCCAGATCTCATGGAGACAATATTGTAGTTAGATGTCCTTCAATCGCCTATCTCAGATTCCGTTCACCCCGTCAGCACATCCTCTCCCTGTTTCTGTGTGTTGGCTCCCAGCTCCCAATTGCATCCATTTCCAAGAGAACTGTCCTCAACTGAGGGGCACTGCCTCAGCCAGGAAGTCACAAGTCCTCTCCCTTGTCCACAGCTAATGACTAACTTATGGGGCACAAAAGGCCAGGCCCTTGTCTCCTAGTACAATTCATGTACCAAGAACTCTCCCAAGATTAGACTTTGCCTGACACCATCCCCTTGCCTGACTGCTTCCCCTTGGGCTCTCCTGCTTCCCTCGGTCCCTTGCAGATCTTTCCTGATCAGCATTCCCTCAGTGTGCATTTGAATCCTACCCCTGTCTCTGCTTCTAGGAAACCCAACCTAACACAAGAAGGGAAGAGAGTAATAAGCAAGTACACGGGTAAGCATATACCACATCAGATGGTGATCACTGTTTTGGAGACTAATGCAGCAAGGGAAAGATGGAGGGGTAAACTGGGAGAGATGAGTCCCATTTCAGATAAAACCAGGTAGTGAGAGCCTTCTCTAATAAGATGACATTGGCAGAGACCTACAGGAAGTGAAGACGTGAGAAGCGTGAAAGTCTGGGCATCAATGTTCCAGGCAGAGGGAACCACACGGTGAGGAACTAGTGTGCTTGTCACGGTTGAAGAGCTAAAAGGAGGCTGGAATAAAGCAGCCAGGAGGAAGGTGGGAGGAGTGTGGCCATAAGCAGATGGTTGGATATCGGCATTATTAAAGAGGCCTATAACAGGGCCTCCTTGTTCCCATTGCAAAGTCATGGAAGTACCAGAACATTGAAATAAGAGCAAGACCTGAATAGGATCAAAGTCACCTGGTAAGACTGAGTCTGTTGTTGAAATGGTATGGATGAGAAAATGTATATATCAACTTTATGAAAATACGGTGAAAGTTCAAGATTCCAGATATCCTAGTAAAAATGAGCAAATAAAGAGTAGGGTTCTTGATTCCATATTTTTTCAAGGTTTTTTTTTTTTTTCCCTCTTCTTTAATGCATACCCTCCTTCCACCTATATTCTGTCCATTCTAATCTGGGCTGTGACTTCCTCTTCTCAGTTCTGAATTATTATACTACTATTTTTTCACTATTTTGGTGATATTAATATAAATTCTGACCAGCCATATTTATGAGGAGGAACTGAACCATACTCTTTTGTCTCTTCTCCTTCCTTCCCTTCTCTTCCTTCTTCTGCTTTTTCTCTTCTTTTCCATATTCTCTCCTTCTCTTGCCCTTGGGAAATAATTGCTTTAGTAAACAAACATGCGCTGATGGCATATTTACTCAAGGACTGTCCTTCCCTCTGTCGCTTGATGCCAATCAGGACAATAACTACAACTCAACACAAACTATTATTAACAAGAAGCAAACTAGAAACTACACAGTAATACTACCCCCCGCAAAAAAAAAAAAAAAAAAAAAAAAGTATATTAGTACAGCCTGGGGTTACTTTGCTTATCATCCTTCCACCATATGGACAAATATCTTTTCTGCCTCTTTGTGGATAATAGGACTCACATGAAGAGTCATTCCCCAGCATAGGCATCGTACTTCTAACAGTGTCTAAAAAGTAAGATGTTTTCTGCCGGCTGGACACTGTGCTAATCAATTTACATGTATCATCTCACTGAAATTCTACAACAACCCCATGAAGTGGTTATTGTCATTACCCCCACTGTACCCATGAAAAATGAGGCATTGAAGTAATGTAACTTCTCCAGGGTCACTCAACCAGTCCTTGGCATATCTGGGAATGCAGCCAAGGTTGAATGAGTCCAGAACAGGAGTTCTTGAATCCACACTACACTGCCCGCAACCCACCCACCACCATCTCATTACATCAAGTCACAATGTTTTGCTTCTATTTTCGTCTACCTCTACCTCTCCCCCTGTTCTGTGAGCTTCCTGAGAGTATGGAGTAAATTTTACTCATCTTTGATCATCAGGCATAATAATAGGGTCCCAATAAAATATACCTCTGTTTTCCCCACTTGAGTTCCAAACTAAATGATGGATAAGACAAAAGAATAAGGCAGACATAGATGAAAATACCAGCTTCATTACTGAGAAAGACCAGGCTGGAGGAGGACCCATGGGTTTCCTGGGTGCCAAACCCCCGAATTAGCCATGCTGATCCTCCCAGTCATGGGCAATACCAAGAAAACCAAAGGTTTCCACTCTAAAATGTAGCACTTGGAGGAGCAGACCATAATGTATGTAGAGAGAGAAAACGGGCCCATCCACACCTGGATGACAGCCTTTATCTCAATATTATCAAGTAGAGAACACCTAGAATGAGAAATGGCAGTCTTTCCACAGGAAAATAGGAAGCCC